GTTTCTTCCCCCCCCCCCCCCCCCCCCCCCCCAAAAAAATTAAAAACATTGAAGTTATTTGTAGAATTTGTTCTGGGCCTTTTTTCCACCCTCATTCATTTAATTTCCATCGTCGGAAGATACATCCTCCCCAAAAATATTACAGTGTACAGTATTTGCATTGTAGTTAGTTAATTACAAACAAATTCCAGACCAAAAAAATTGCATTCAAATGATGTTTGTGCTGATTCAAAAGGCCACCAAATCAACAAGAAGTAGATGTTGGTGTGCTACTCACCAGCACCTTCTGGCATCAGAGCCACGGCCTCGATGGCGACGACCAATGTGAGGAGAGTCCAGTAACGCATCCTCGTCATCATGTTGGAAGTATTCACTTCATATGAAGACACACAGTTGTCAGAGGGCTTTAAATAAAGCGGGTGGCCGGCACCGAAAGAGGAACCGAGAATGTTTCACAGGAAATCCCTCGTCGAGAAACAACCACTGCTTTCTTGACATCATCAGGGATGTTTGACGACTCGTGGGTTTTGTCAAAAATACTTTGCATACAAAAATTACATCATGTCCAATAAACACACGTTCAAGTACGGCGGACCATCAGAAAAGGAAGCATTTGTAGGACTTACATTTTTAACCAATTCATGAAAAATAAAGAATACCACAAAAAATAAGATCTAAATAAATTATTGATGTAAAATAGTTTTTTGGTTTCCAATAAAATGTTTCTTCCATTTGAAAAAATATAGATACAAAAATAAGTTTCCTTGTTTTACTCAATTGTTTTGTTTGTTTGTTTGTTTTTTTACAAATCAACAAAGGTACTCTGTTTGGCCGTGTCAATTGTCATACTGTATTTTGATTTAGATGAAAAAAAACGTTTTTTTCATTAGCTTTAAAAATTTTGTTGTATGTATGTGTACTTTGTCGCAAGATTTCCTTTGAGGATAACGCAAAGAAAGAAAAGTTTTGTTTGGAAAAATTCAACAAAATTGTCCTTGTTTTTCACTTTTTTTTTTTTATTGTTCAAAAAACAAAACTATACCTTTGTTCTATTTGTGTTTGAAACCTTACTTTGAGACCCTAGTCCTAGTTTAAAGCTCAACTTTGAAACCTTGACTCTAGTTTGTAAACCTCAGTGAGAACCAAAACCTTGTTTAAAACCTCACTGTAATATGCGAGCACAAGTTTGAAACCCTGCTTTGAACACCGGAACCCTAGTTTACAACCCAACTTTGAAACCTCAACCTTAGTTTGAAAGCCTACTTTGTAACACTAACCCTTGTTTAAAACCGTACTTTAAAACCCTGACCTTAGTATAAAACCCTTCTTTGAAACAGTAACACTAATTCACAAAACCTTAACACAATTTTGAAAGCCTCCTTTACAACCCTAACCCAAGTTTAAAACCCTTCCTCTAGTTTAAAACCCCACTTTGAAACCCTAACCCTAGTTTGAAAGCCCTACTTTGAAACTCTAATCCTACTTTGAAACTAAACCCTAGTCTAAAGCCCTAACTGTAGTTAAATCCCTATTTTGAAGCCCAAAACTGAGTTTAGAACCCTACATTGAAACCCTACACTACTTTGGAAACCGAAGCCTCATTTGTCAAAAGGTTAACTATGCTTAAAAACCCTATTTTGAAGCCCATATCTGTGTTTAGAACCCTATTTTGGCACCCTACACTACTTTGACAAGCTAATTTGAAATGGTAATTTACCATAGTTTAAAACTGTACCGTACTTTAAACCCCTAAATCAAGTTTAAAACCCGACTTTAAAACCTTAACACTGATTTGTAACCTTTAATCTGAGTTTAAACCCTACTTTGAAACACTAACCCTAGTTTAAAAACCTTCCTTTGAAAACCTAGCCCTAAATTAAAACCCTACTTTGAAACCTTAGTTTTATTTTAAAAACCAAAACCCAAGTTTAAAATCCTACTTTCAAACCTTAACCCTTGTTTGGAACCCTGCTTTGCAACCTCAAACTTACTTTAGAACCCTGAACTGAATTTAAAACCCCATGTTAAAACCAAAAACTGAATTTAAAACCCAAGTTTTAAACCATAACCCTAATTTGCAACCCTGATTCTAGTTTAAACCCTACTTTGAAACCCTAACCATGGTTTTAAGACCTTAACACAGCGCAGCGTATTCAACGATTCCACTCTGGAGGGTGGTTATGCATGGTTGTTGTGTCTGAAGTCTGGCAGGAGAATCGGCATACCAGGTGGATGAAAATAATGACTAAAGCATGTAGAGGAGAATTTGGCCCGATGAGGGTAGGCGGTATGCTCAATGGATGGATGGATGTAGTACTGATCAAACTTGCTGCGAGAGTGCAGTGGTGGTACAACGTTGATGTTTGGGTTGTGACCTGCTTAATGTACACTGTACAATCATCAAGCAGGTGCTTCTCCTCTCCTCGAGGAGTGGTTAATCCACCATTTTGAAATTGCTTGGGATAGCTTTTTCATGGTGAAGTTGTTTTGTAACGTTCATCAGTTTGATTTGCTTCTCCTCTTACTTTTTTCTCTCTTCTTAAGCTTTTTATATATACTTGTAGCTCGTTCAATTGCTTCACTTTGAGCCATGTCCCGAGGTCTCACAATAGAAAGGGCATGAAAATAAATGAAATAATGAAATGATTGTTAAGAATTTGCAGTGTGGAATCAGTTGCTCACTCAGCAATTGGATCATATGTTCCAAAAAAAATAAAGCAATGAATCAATCCAAATGGACTTCCATTTTGGAGACCCGTGAGGAGGTTATAGAAGCTGAAACAGAGGACAATGAAGATGGGGATGTGGTGGTGACTCACGGGATTTGCGTTCATAGCTCAGTCGCACAGCAGAGCTCAGACAGTGACCTAATGAACACAGCAAGCTCGGCAGGGACGAGCATGGAGTGAAAACACATTGATCATATTGGAGGTGTCAAAATGAATCTATTAATTGACAACTAGTCAATTATCAAATTAAGCAACAACTCTTTTCATAATCGAGTCATCGTTTACAGCAATTGTTGATCATAAAATTGGACAAATCTTCAGCAGTAATTTTTATGTTTGCTGTAGTCCTTTATGAAATCAGACTGATTCTTTTGTATTCAATGAAAATATGACATTCACAAACATCATCTTTTATATTGGAAAAGAATGACTGAGTTCTTTCAAATACCGGTAGGTTTGCCTGTACATCAGTCCCTCTCATGAAATGCTGCTTAAATCGTTGTTTACTTGCTAAACAATACTGTACCTAAAAACAAGAATTGGTTCATAAAAAGTAATTAGGAAAAAAAAGTTTTGTTACACACTTTCATGCAAAATTACAATTTTAATCAACAAATTTATGGAATATGATTAAAGAACAATCAGTTCTACAAATATTCGATAGTGAGAGCCACACATCTTATACTGTATATTGCCCTGATTTCTTGCCCCTCCACTGCTGATAGATTCTTTTTCTTTTTTTTTTTTTTAACTGATTTGCTCATTTATTTCCAAGGCAACAGATTCCTGGTTTTATTTTGAAGTTTAAAAAAAAGACAACTCAGAAGAAATGTTCAAATGAAGGATGTAAAACAAAATGATTTTAATTTAACAATCAATTGTTACCTACGTTCTACTTTTGGAGAATCATCTACATACACTTATGAGTGAGTGGGCACTCATGGTAGGACTCAAAGGTTCTGGGTTACTCAACCCCAAAAATGGGGGAACCACCGATTTATATGTTGCAACTGTGCTACACCGGCGGCCCGGTGGTCCAGTGGTTAGCGCGTCGACCTCACAGTGCAGAGGTACCGGTTTCAATTCCAGCTCCAGCCTCCCTGTATGGAGTTTGCATGTTCTCCCCGGGCCTGCGTGGGTTTTCTCCGGGTAATCTGGTTTCTTCCCACATTCCAAAAACATGCATGGCAGGCTGAGTGAACAGCCTGCCGTTGTCCTGAGGTGTGAGTGTGAGCGTGCATGGTTGTTCGTCTCTGTGTGCCCTGCCATTGTCTGGCAACTGAATCAGGGTGCCCCTCGCCGACTGCCCGAAGACAGCTGGGATTGGCTCCAGCACCCCCCGCGACCCTTGTAAGGATAAGCAGATCGAAAAATGGATGGATGGATGGAACTGTCCTACACAGGGGCTGTCATGATCCCGTTGTTGTGTCTCCAGCAGGTGGCAGTCGAAGGCCTCGCTTCAGTCGGCACACCTGCTGCCAATGTTCTAATCAATTGTCATGTATTTAACGACTGTCAAGATGTCAAGGTTTGTCGGATTATTCCTCTCCTTGCACATGCCTATAAGTAGTTTTTCTAGACTAGCTCTTTAGTTGCGCCATATATTTTCTCGCCTCATTTTTGCATTCGTCATAGTAAGTACAGTATTTTTGTTGTCAAGCTTACGCTCGTTTTTGTATCCTTAGTGTTTTGTGCTCTTTTCATGACGAGCTATTTCCGTTCATGTTATCTTTGCATTTTGCAAGCGTTTTTGGTTAGTTTTGTTTTTTCCCTGGTTATTGGAATCAGCGTCATTTGTTGTCCATCGTGGCGACATTTGTTCAGTCAGCCAACGCCACTGCGTCGTGGCATTCAATAGTTTTGTCGGCTCTTTAGCCCCACTACTACGTTAAAATGTCACCGTTTCGTTCTTAAAAAAAAAAAGCAACGCAAAGTGCGTCACAAAACAAATACACAAGCTCCTCTCCCCGCCTCGAATGCTTCTGCGAAGGTGCGCTGGTGCGGGAAGTCAAGTCGAACCTCAAAATCAGATAGACCCGTCTGGGTATCCGCATCCGCATCCTTCGCTTGGAAAAATGCCCGCTACGGGTTATAGTCAGAACGTGAGTTATCCACCTCTTGGGTACATCTTTGTCAATTAGATTTCAACTCTTTTTATGTTAGACTATTTACAGCATTGGGTGATATTTCAAGGCTCACAGAATAGTTCAATGTGTATGTAAAGGGCGACAGCCAAATGAAAGATGAGATCAACTCTTATTTCATCACACATCAAAAAACATTTGTTTTACCTTATTCCATTTTTAGTAATCGGCAGCAGGGTTGGTTTCATCCAAATCACGTATTTTGGACCCAAAACGCGGAAAATAAGCATTTTGTGAAATCATATATTTGCTGCGTAACTGACTTTCATGCTAATAGGGTCACCAGAGCAAGTTGTACATTTAAAAAAGAAACTACTCTATTGGCAAGCTATTTATAGTCGTGAATATGCGTGCTTATACATATATTACGTCATCACTTCTACCTGGCCTCGAGGCTATCCTAAAATGGGGCATTTTGACCATTAAAATTTGAAACGGAGAAAGTAATTTTTAGTTACTCGTGCACGCACTATTTTATGCTGCTGACAATTTCCGCTCCACACTTAAGACCATCAGTAACAACAATACATTAAAATACTGAAAATGAATGAATGGCAGTATTTCTATTGCAAGTCTCTATGCAATGTGTGCCCCTAAATGTTCTACTTGAGCACCTAAAGTTTCATGTCTGGGGACGCTGAGCTGTTAAAAAAAAAAAAAGGTACTATCCCGGCTGTCTTCGGGCAGTAAGCGGGGGACACCCCGAACTGGTTGCCAGCCAATCGCAGGGCACACACACGAACAACCATCCGCACTCACACTGAGAGACAATTTAGACTGTTCCATTAACGTGCCACGCATGTTTTTGGAATGTGGGAGGAAACCGGAGTACCTGGAGAAAACCCACACAGGCACGGGGAGAACATGCAAACTCCACACAGGAAGGCCGGAGCCGAAATTGAACCCTTCACGTCTGCCCTGTGAAGCTGACGCCCACTGTGAGGCAATCGTCCACCGGGCCGCCTGACAATATGATGGAAAAGTTAATTATTTTTATGATTCCATACGAAAAGTTAAACGTTCAGAATTATAGCTTTCAGGGCCCACAATTTAATCACTTTCGACCACGCACGTAGCAAACGCAACACAACACTAAGAGACGGTATGCCAGACAATCAACAGCGTGATGAGACACAAGGGAAGATGCTGGGTGGGGCTGCAAAGATGTGCAGGCAATCAGCTCACGGAATAAATCCACTGGTGCTATCATTGATTGATGTCACGTTGGGAACCAAACATGCTCTTTGAATGAGTGCCCGTTGCATATACAGTACAGTACAGGCATGTACAAAACCTGAGTCATTCTGCATTTTTTTTTCTGAATACAGTACTTTGGGAAAAAAACGCGAGGACCGCAATATAGCGAGTGTCAGAGATTTTCTCGGACAAAGTTAAAGAAATGACTCGGCACACAGGAAAATTGTCTTCAATATCGGCGGGAGGGGATCTCTGAGAGTGAACGACGGTAGTTGCTCCGATGATCACACTCTCGGCTCCCTCTCCGCCGGTTCGAACTTTTATTGCAAAATACAAGAAAGACACTGCCCCCGAGATTTGCATACCGCGCCCCCCGGTCCGGCCCTTCGGTAGTGATCTGATCTACCCGAATACATAAGTCACAGATTTTGCTGATGACAAATGTCCACCTGGGCGCGACAGCGGTTCCCAAACTGTCTTTTGGTATTCAAAAACTCTTTGTTCCCAATTTGTTCATTCCCACTCTGTGATTGAATCTAGCCTTCTTCCATCTGTTCGCCCCCCTTGCTTTGACGTGATTACTCAAGAAAAGGCCCTCCGCCCAAACGGCCGACACCTCTGCGCTGAGTATGTCCAGACATGCCCAAATTAACCGAAACTTTAAACATGATACAATTTTGTTCATAGATTTCTCTATCAGCGAGGCATCACTGCATACCACATTTGAGCATCACTGACCACGTGGAGAGGTGTTCATTAGTTGAATTTTAATCCACTTGAAACATCCATCCATTTATTTTCTGAATCGCTTTATCCTCACAAGCAGGGGTGGCCATCCAGTCAGAGACTAAGAGCCATTTTTATAATTGTGTTACTGCAAAGAGCTACATCATACACATGGGCACACAAGCATCACTTTATCCCTTCTGTGTGCGCGCGCACGCACGCACACACACACACGCACGCACGCACGCACACACACACACACACACACACACACACACACACACACACACACACACACACACACACACACACACACACACACATACCTTTGCTCAGCCAGATTTATTGTAACATGTCACACACCAACATGATAATGACAGAAATTGACTCCTACAGTACTAAGACCACAGGCCAGTCATTTTCAACAATGAATATTGTGTGCAGTGTCTCACACACACAAACTCTCAGTTCAGCAGAGTCCACAAAAAAAATATTAGAACATTTTTCTCTTACTATGCATGTTGCTTGGTGCCTTAGTGCAGGGATTTCTGGCATTCCTTCTCTTGAACAATGCTCTTCAAATCTGGCTTGCATTCTGTTGCCACTCGAAGTAGGCACTGTCTGCATGCGAGCTGCAGCAGTTACTGACTACTCCGGTCAGCTTACCACATAGGGCAAACGTTTTTGCCCGAAGATCGACTTTTGAAGCGACCAACCTCCTATGATCGACCCGATCGCGCACGTGCAATCATATACACGCACACGCACGCGGGTGCCCAACCATGCACTCACGCACATATGCACGCATGCACGCCATGATGAGCATCAGCCGGAACGGCCCGAACATGAACGAAACACACAAAAACACAAATCTTTTTTCCCCCCTTTTCCTCCACCCCTTGGTCGACTTGGGAACAGTCCGCTGGCTCCCGGTTGATTGCGATCAGAGGTAATTCGCTAACTAGCTTAGCGCTTAGCACCGTTGATTGCGCATGAGTGGTGATTCAGTTGTCATCTGACTGGTTGCCCTGTATGTGAATCAGGTAACGCGATTGATTATAGGCTGACATAGTAAGTTATGTATGTGTATTTAGCACCATTATTTGAATGGCAGCACCACCGCAGAGGCATTTTCGACCCTTTGAACCAGCCAAAGAGCCGCATGTGGCTCGCGAGCCGCGGGTTGGCCACCTTTGCTCACAAGGGTCGCGGGGGCTGCTGGAGTCCATCCCTTCAGGCAGTAGGTGGGTGACACCCTGAACCGGTTGCCAGCCAATCGTAGGGCACACAGAGATGAACAACCATTCACGCTCACACTCACACCTAGAAACAATTTTGTGTTCAATCTGCCTGCCATGAAAATTTTTGGAATGTGGGAGGAAACCGGAGTACCTGGAGAAAACCCACGCAGGCCCGGCGAGAATATGCAAACTGGTCAGAGCCGGGATCGAACCCACGACCTCTGCACTGTGTGGTCGACGCGCTAACCACTGGACCACCAGGACGCCCCACTTGAAACATGATGTGGACAATTGTTTTCCGATTGTGTGAATTGTCCCACTTCTATCTCCGCAGGCGTCAGTGCAGACCCGACATGTGGCTATCCTGGTTGCTATCCTGGTGGCTATCCTGGTAGCCATCTTGGTCCTGTTGCCGCTGTTGATCTTAAAAAGCATTGGCAGGCTGACAGCTGAAAACAACACGCCCAAGCTGAATGACTACAATGACAAGGTAAGTTCCATAGCGTTACTAGCAGTGGTAGGATGTAACCAAATATCAAACAAGTTGTCTCCATTCAAGTTTTGTGGATGACCATGACTGGAATGACTATGATGTGTGTAAGAAACTCAAGGTGTGTGAGAAGGTCACTATTTCGGTTTACCTGCAGGTGGGAGAGGCGAAGCTGCGACTCAGGACTCGAAAACTTAAAGGGACACCTGAGTGGGCTGAACATTGGCACTTTTATAAAAGGTCTAGCTATAAAAATGATGTCAGCATTAAAATTCACCCCCCTAAAAGAATAGTGATTTACGGGCCTTTTTGGGATGCGATTTATCACAAATTGATTGGTCCACTCTCTTTTGTAGCTTGGCTTGTTGTTTTTCCCCATCTCAGCCTGTCCATGTCTCAGCAGGGAGGCACACACTGTAATTCATATAGCTTTTTGTCACGTTCTATTGTCACAGAATTGTTTGAACTGGTGAATAATTGCCACACAAATTAATATGCGCCTCGACCTTGTCCACCTCGACCTGTGAAAATATCAAAGGGATCTGAACAATATTTTGGATTTATTGACATTAAATGTGAGATGATATGATGAAAAACCACTTATCACATCCAAAATAATGTGCTGGTCGTTTTTTATTTATTTATTTATTTTTTAAGTGGACAACTGTCGGAATGTGCAAATTAATTTGGGTGGCAATTAGTCATAATTTTTGACATTTAGCAATGCTAACATTTCGTTATAGTTCCAGCCGAGGCTATTCACTCCCACAAGCTCCCATGGCTTGTCGAGGCAGAATTAGCTTTCGAAGGCTAAACAGACAAGGTTAGCAGAATGAGATGAGCTTCAACAAGCAGACATGGGGCTCCGTGTCACAGACATCCAGGCAGTCAAGAAGCTCCTGGCAGTCAAGAAGCTCCTGGCAACAAGAGTACCTCGCCGTTGCTTGTGAGGTGGTGACGTCGCAGTCACCCTCTCCAGACCTCCCTACCGCGGTCACACGCCGTCCATGTAACTGTACACTTTAAATCTCTGCAGTCAGAGATGCAGCAGCGTCGCGGTGCTAGTGGGCTCCAGCCCGTGTGCATCAGATAAAAAGCTGCGGGACAAGCCGAGGTTGGCTTGTTGAAATCTGAAAGTTGGACTTGTAAAGATGAAGGTGTTGTATACTTCTTGTCTGATAACGATTGAGGAGGCCATGGGAAACAGCACTTCTGCGTTTAAATGGGAAGCTCTCTCCTCAATGATAACCGACGGCGATTTTTGTGCCTTGCAACCTTAGCAACAGTTTCCGGTGAAAAAGGTTACAGTGAAACTACTCTCCAATGAAATCATGTTTGCAGCAAGAAATTTTTCACTACAGTACAGTACGGACTTTTCACTATAGCAAATTTATCGCAGATGTACCCCTCCCCCCCCAACACACACACACACACACACACACAAACTTATGTCTACCGGTACTCTTATTATTATTCCAATAGTGCATAAGTACGAGCATACACTTATTTGACACTTCGTATAGCCAGCATAGATAGAAAAAAAGGGAAATAAATTGCAAAATTTACGATCAGCATTCACTCCAATGAAATCATGTTTGCAGCAAGAAATTTTTCACTACAGTACAGTACGGACTTTTCACTATAGCAAATTTATCGCAGATGTACCCCATCCCCCCCAACACACACACACACACACACACACACAAACTTATGTCTACCGGTACTCTTATTATTATTCCAATAGTGCATAAGTACGAGCATACACTTATTTGACACTTCGTATAGCCAGCATAGATAGAAAAAAAGGGAAATAAATTGCAAAATTTACGATCAGCATTCACTTTCACTAACATCAATTTCTTGCATAATGTCTTTTACTTCATTTCCTCCATCTTTCATTTGTATTACTTTTATCCTGTCTTCAAGCATTAAAGCTTTTCTTTTCTTCACTCCTTGGTCTGCAAACGTCCGTTTTTGTAGCCATTTTAGCAATGCAACGTTCGTGCTGCGTCTGAAAATTACAATAACAAATGCTTCCTGTACTACTGCGCATGTGTAAACCACTGTGGTGTTTGCTGTTGCCGTTTCCGAGCTAAGCAGTAGGAGTCGCTGTAGGCTGAGGTTGGATTAGACTTTAGCGGAAGGCTTGTTTTCGTTGTAGTGAATCTCGTTGCGAGGCAAGGGCAGAGAAAAAGATTTCGTTTAACGCAATGGGGTTTTTTTCGTTGTAGGGGGAGCAGAAAAGTGGGAATGGTTTTAATGCATGAAGATTTTTTCACACTAGGGGGTATTTTCACCCATGTAGGTTCGTTGTAGAGGAGGTTCACTGTAGAGACAGCCAAAGTCGTCATCATTCACGTTTCCTCTAGTTGGCCGTGAAATCCCTTATGATTTTCGGAAGTCGAAAGTAACTTTCCTGCCCCAACTATAACAGCCAACAATGACACATGTAAAAGGCATGACCAATGTGGATTTACGCTTTGTGAGTGGGGCTTGCCCACAAATATGTCTGGTGGCAAAGCATTGTGGGAAATGTAGAAGGGCCTGAACCTCTCTATACAAGTCATACAACTTGATTTCAATTCTTAGGACTTGGTGACACCCTCGGTAACAAAGGTAAGCAGTCAGTGCTATATTTAATGTCATGGTCCGCAGATATGAATAGAACCCCTAGTATCCCCGAGTGTAAGTTGGATTTTTTTCTCAATGGGAGAGTTCTTGGTCCATAAGTGATCACTCTTAAGATTTCCATGATGTCACTGATACAAAACTGTGCCAAGTCCATACTCAGAGGCATCCGTGCACAAGGGGGAGTTCAAAGCCAGTACAGGAGGTTGAGAACGTGTCAATTAGCTTTAGCTGTCGGGCTTTTCTTTATTTTGAACAGTTGATGAAGGGGTTTTGCAATGCCATTTGCAAGGCCCCAAGGAGTAATAGTGTCATGTGCCTGGACCCTTCAGTAAGGGAGCACTGGTAATAGTCCAGGCGTAGGGAACTCCAGTTCCTCGAGAGCCATACCCTGCCTGTTTTAGATCTCACCCTACTCCAACACACCTGAATCAAATCATCAGCTCATCAGCAAGCCCTGTCGAGGCCTGACACAATCATGAACAGTTTAATCAAGTGTGTTGGAGTAGGGTGGGATCTAAAAGAGGCAGGATATGGCTCTCGAGGAATCAGTTCCCTACCCCTGTGATAGTCCTTGCCCTGATCAAGGATACTGAACAAACTATGGCATTTCAGAGTGTCGATTGCTGACATCGGACTCAAATGTAGCCTGATTTTGAGCAAACACACGTGTTGCAGACAAATCTAGTGTCTCGTAGCACCTTAGGTACCGGGTGGCACAGAGAGAGACCATTTTTTAAATTGTTTTTTTGTCATTGCTGATCGTCAGTCAACCCCCAGCCCGTCAATAACTTTACAAAAAGGGCAATATAAATAGGGTTGGGTGATGATTGAGAACTGTGATAGTACGTGACCAGCGGCGAGCTGTGAGCTTCTTTACGCCATCAGACGCGCGATCTCCAACTTTCACTGAAGCAGTTGGGATAAAAATCAACACCTTCAAATATGAGACCATGGTCCTGAGTCAGAAAAGGGTGGAATGCTCTCTCCAGGTTGGGGATGAGATCCTGCCCCAAGTGGAGGCAAGTATCGTGGGATCTTGTTGAGTGAGGTAACCGAGTCACGGCATCTCTTTTGCCTCAGCTAACTACGGGCAGTAGGCAAGGTACACCCTGACCTGGTTGTCATTCAATCGCAGGGCACAAAAAGACAACCATTCACACTCATGCCAACGGATAATTTGAAAAGTGCTCAATTAAACTGTGCCGTTTTTGGAATGTGGGAGGAAACCAGAGTAGGAGGAAAGCATGCAAACTCCACACAGGAAGGCCAGTGCTTCCAAGTGAACCCATGACCTCTGCGCTGTGAGGCGGAAGTGCTAACCAGTCGACCGCCCTGTCACCTGCATTTATATCATATAAACCCAATTCCAGTGAAGTTGGGATCTTGTGTTAAATGTAAATGAAAACGGGATACAATGATTTGCAAATAATTTTCAACCCAGAATTGAATACACTAAAAAGACAAGATATTCGGTGTTCAAGCTGATAAACTTTATGCAGACGGCTGCGCGAGGCTCCATGGCTTGGGCTGCCAAATAAGCTCCTTATCCCCTCAAGACTTGTTTATTGTGGGTTTGGCCGTGTTTTCTCGTGGAAGACTAATGAAACCTAGCACTCTTGAGAAAATTGAACTGCCATTCAATTGGCGTTCAATGGCGCCACAATGAGTGCGTTTAAATTGCATTCTTTTGTTGCAGAGTGATCCAACCGGGGAGTTGTTGAGAGGTGTCGGTGTGGGCAGCAAAATCACCATCAAAGGCCGAGTCAATCGGAACCCAAAATGGTACGAAGCCACATTCCCCGCAAATCAGGCTGTGCCCCTGAGAACATGTTTGTGCTTTTGTGTTGCAGTTTTGCCATTCAGTTGTTGATGCGCGACGGCTATAGTGTCGCGCTGCATCTGAACGCTCGCTTCAACTGGAAAGGCGATGTGAACGTGTTTGCGCGGAATTCCTTCCTGTCTGGTTCCTGGGGTGTGGAGGAGCGTAAGATCGCCTCCTTCCCCTTTGCACCCGGGCTCGACTTTGAGGTACAACAACATCAATAAATGTTTATTCTATGTTGCGATGGCGAATTCTGCCTCGACCAACTCTGTTGTCACTCAAATGGTTATTTGGTGTGGCACTGACGCTTTCCACGTGACCGTCAACAATGGTGACCAAGTGGACTACACATACAGAGTCGGCCTAGAAATGATCATGCATGTGAGAGTGAGAGGGGACGTGACGTTGTTAGACGTCAGTAACATGTGACATCATCATGTCAATATCGTAAGCACTACTTTATTACTTCATGTCTGGATCTGCATTTATATCATACGAACCCAATTCCAGTGAAGTTAGGACATTGTGTTAAACATAAATAAAATGGAATACAATGATTTGCAAATCATCTTCAACCTATATATAAGTAAATAATATAAATAATATATATAAATATATATTAATAAATATATATTTATAATAAAAAAAATAAAATAAATATATATATAATAATATAAATAATAAAAGTGTGGGACAAATAAAGGATATCTAATCTAATCTATCTAATCTAAAAAAAATCTAAAAAATACACAGCAAAGACAAGATATTTAATGTTCAAACTGATATATTAGTTTTAGAAAAGAATCATTAACTTTGAATTTTATGGTTGCAACATGTTCCCAAAAAGCTGGGACAGGGTCATGCTTACCACTCCTTTTTATTTTTTTTTTACTGAAGCTTTCTAGGTGGAATCTTTCCCATTCTTGTTTGATGTACAGCTTCAGCTGTTCAACAATCCTGGGTCTCCTTTTCGTATTTCATGCCTCATAATGTGCCACACATTTTCAATTGGAGAAAGGTCTGGACTGCAGGCAGGTCAGTCTAGTACACTCATACCCGTCCTCTTTTACTACGAAGCCACACTGTTGTAACACGTGCAGAATGTGGTTTGGCATTGTCTCCCTGAAGTAAGCATGGGCGTCCATGAAAAAGACGTTGCTTGGATGGCAGCATATTTCTCCAAAACCCGTATATACCTTTCAGTCTGAATGACGCCTTCACAGATGTGTCAAGTCAATGGCACAAGCGCAGCCCCACACCATCATAGTGACTGACTTTTGAACGTTGTGTCCATAACAGTCCGGATGGTTCTTTTCCTCTTTGGACAGGAGACACAATTTCCAAAAACAATCTGAAATGTGGCATCGTCCATCTTAGATACAATACAATACAATACATGCTGATTTATGTAGCGCTTTCACAACAACGGCAGCTGTAACAAAGTGCTTAACATTTAGATGGGCTGCGGCCCAGTGAAGTCGGCGGCCTTTCTGGGTGTTGTCGAAAATGGCTTTTGCTTTGCATAGTACAGTTTGAAGTTGCACTTACGGATGTGGCGCTGAAGTGTATTTACTGACATTTGCTTTCTGAAGTGTTACTGAGCCCATGTGGTGATAGACTTTACACATTGAGGTTGGTTTTTGATGCAGTGCTGTGTCAGTGTTGGTTTTCGCCAGATTCCATGACCCTTTTCATATTTTCATGCAGTTTACAAAGACGTGAACCATCTTTACTTGACTGGGAATTCAGGAAAGCTTCTTTTTATACCCAATCATGGCACCCGCCTGTTCACCTGTGAGATGTTCCAAACAGGTGTTTGATGAGCATTCCTCAACTTTATCAGCCTTTTTTGCCACCTGTCGCAACTTTCTGGCATATCATGTAAGTTAATGATTTGCTAAAAACAAGTATAAATTGAATATTAAATACTGTATTTTGTCTTTGCAGTGTATTCAGTTAAATATAGGTTGAACATGATTTGCAAATCAGTGTGTTCTCTTTCTATGTTTAATACGTCCCATCTTTATTGGAAATGAATTTGTGCAATACCTCAACGTGAAGGATTATAAATGTAAGCTTTTTTAAAATTGTTAATTATTTTCATTTTATGTTTGAACATTACAGTATTGTCTTTGATGTTAAAGTTACCTAAATTATATTCTCTTTGATAATTTATTGAACATGTTGACGTTGAGAGCGTCTGATTGGCTGAAGGAAACAGAAAGTGTTTTAGTAGCAGAAGGAGTTGTGCTCTCGAACGTGCTGCAGTGCAGGCGTCTATTTTTTTCTTCTCAATAAAACTGCATTCAAAGGATTCCATCTCTCCTTTTGCCATTCGTAGAGTTATCCACCAAAAAGAACGAACCCCTCAACTTACACATAAAAAAAA